ACTCCTTGGAAAGTTAGGAAGCAGCCCCCCCCCCTTCCCCCCCCCTGGAAAAGTTAGGAAGCAGCCCCCCCTGAAAAGTTGGGAAGCAGTCCCCCCTCTTTCTCACTCCTTGGAAAGTTAGGAAGCAGCCCCCCCTCTTTCTCACCCCTTGGAAAGTTGGGTGCCTGGCTGAATGGCCACTGGACATTTTTGGAGGGTTCCCCCCCCAAAAAACTATTTGGCTTCTCATCCAAGAAGTTTCTTCAGTCATTGGATGAGAAGGGAAACATTTTCAAAGGAAAAAGAAAACCCCAAAAAGTCTAGTTGCCTTTTTTGTGGATTGGGGGGGGGGGCACGGACACTTTTGGGGCAAATTGTGACTTGGATGATTGAGAATCTTCATAGACATTTATTAGGATCCAGGAGCCAAAGTGGAAAAGGGGCTCTTTGGATCTTGGAGAAGATTCTTACTTAAAAAGTGGAAAAAGTGGGGAGGGGGCACACATATCCTTTTTCCAGTTTTAAGTAGGGTCTTCTTCTCCAAGATCCAAAGAGCCCCCCCCCTCGGTTCCTCTTTTCACCTTGGATACTGAATCCTAATAAATGTGTGTGAAGATTCTCACTCATCCAAGTCATAATTTGCCCCAAAAATGTTTCCTCCCAACAACTGGACTTTCTTGGGGTTTTTTTCCCCCTTTAAAAATGTTTCCCTTCCCAACAAGAGAGAGGGAAAGGAGTAGAGAGGAAGGAAGGGAGAGGAGAGAAAAGGGAGAGATAGAAGAAAGGGAAAGGAAGAAAAGGGAGGGGAAAGAGGAGTAGGAGAGAGGGTCAGAAAGGGAGGAAGAAGAGAGGAGGGGGGAAGGGAAGGGGAAGTAGGAAAGAGAAAGAGAGGAAAAACAAAGAAAGTAGGAAGAGATAGAGGAAGGAAGAGAAGGGGAGGAGAAGAGGAAAAGTTGTGGTAAAATAAAGGAGGGTAAATGGTAAAAGAGCAGCCCCCGAACAACTAAAAATGAAAGTTAAAAGATAAGATGAGTGGAAAAGATTGTACATTTAAATATGTTTATGATTAATAAAAATAAAAACTTTTTTGAAAAAGAAAATGTTTCCCTTCCCATCCAATGACTGAAGAAACTTCTTGGACGAGAAGCAAAATGGTTTTGGGGGGGGAACCCCATAAATGTCCAGTTGCGTTTTGGAAAACCTTTGATAGTAGTGATAAAAAGGCGAAAATAAATGAGTGGCAGGCAGGTTTCAAATGAAAACAGCCATGGCTCCTATTTTTCTTGAGTGGAGGGGGAAAAAAAGAGCAATATCTAATTCTGAAGCCCCTGTTTCTGTTTGAAGACTAGATCGAATTAGATCTTGTTTCCATGCCCCTCAAAGGCTGTAATATTGACTCTATAATATTGATTTCCACCAGAGAAAGTTGCATTGGAAACAGAGAGAGAGTGGCTGTGTATACATGGATGCCTACTTGCGATAGTCTCTCCTGCCGAACACATCTAGTCTATAAAAATGTTATGGATTTAAATCTGGAAAATGAACAAGTAAAAAGCATTGTACGATTCAGCAGTGGGCAAGGAACTTTGGATCTAATGTAATGCTTGAGCAATGGGAGCACATGTGGACGAAAGTTTTAAAATTAAATTTAAATTATAATTTAAAACTTCTATATGATGATATATCATGGATATTTAACTCCAGAAAAGTTGTCAAGAATGCATAAAGCCATTTGAAATGAATGTTGTAAATGTAAAGAATGGATTTTTAAAAAAATCATTTATGGTGGACATGTGATAAAGCAAAGAAATATTGCAGGAGGACTCATATTCTAATACAGAAAATTCTTAAAGTGAATGTAAAAATAAAACCAGAAACTTTTGTTTTGGATTTAGTGGAAAAAGACTTGGAAAAAAATGGGAAACTTTGATAGTATATATGTTGATGGCAGCAATTTTACTTTATGCACAAAAATGGAAGGATGTTTTGATCCCCACAATTGGATGAACAGCTGCAAAAATTGATGGCGTTAGCAGAGATGGCCAAATTGACAGCTTTGATCAAAGGAAAAAAAAACTAAAAATAGTTTTATTTCTACTTGGAAACCGCTTCTGGATTTTGTGCTTGAGACGGGAAAAAACCCCGAAACTTTGATTTTGGGTTTTACTGATGAGATAGATTTGTTGTTATAGAAATGGCTAGTTTAAACTATTATGTAAAAGTAAAAAGTTGAGGTTTCATGTTAATGCCTTATTCTACTGCACTGAAGGGAGTCGGAAGTCAATGCCTTTTATTTCTTTTCCCCCTTTTCTTTCCCGCACTTTTCACTTCTTTTTTTCCTCACAGAACCTCAAACCTCACTTCTTACTACTGATAGCACTGATGATGTTACCTAGCTGGGTAATGAAACGTCTGCACGAAAACAACTGAGCTGAGAGAGCATCAAGAACCCCTCATATTAAACAGCATTGGGAGTGAGATGAAATCCTACGCTTAAAGACCAGTGATCCAGATCATTGTCCCTCAGCTTTAGCAATTTAAAATGGGCGGACTTCAATTCCCAGAATTCCTCACGCTGGCTGGGGAATTCTGGGAGCTGAAGTCCACCTATCTTAACGTTCCCAAGGCTGAGAAACACTGATTCAGATCTTAAAAGTAGCATTATAACATGATCCTGCCCTAAGGGATAGATCACAAGAGCAGAAAAGCAGAAGTCTGCCAGATATAAGTAGTCCTCGACTTACGACCACAATTGAGCCCCAAATTTCTGTTGCTGAGTTTTGCCCCATTTTACAACCTTTCTTGCCACGGTTGTTAAGTGAATCACTGCAGTTGTTAAGCTAATAACACAGTTGTTTAGAATCTACCTTCCCCGTTGATTTTGCTGGTCAGGTCATGGTGATCACATGACCCCAGGAAATTGCGACTGTCATATATATGAGCCAGTTGCCAAGTGTTTGTAACCAGGGGCATGCTGTAATGGTTGTCAATTCCCCCCCCCAGTGTCATTGTTAACAGTCACTAAATGAATCTTTGTAATTTAAGGACTACCTGTATTCAATCTCATACGCTTGCAAAAAGGCTTGACACAATGCATGCTCCCTAGGGGTAGACGTAGCCAAAACCAAAGTGAAAATGTGTCAGAAGAGTATACAGTACAAGCATTAAACCTTTGGCTGCCTCCTAAATCAATGTTACAGCCGAGAGGGTCATTTTCCTGATACTGCAACACCGCATTTCATCCAATTTCCCCTCCTTTGTTTTGAGGCTGTTCTTTCAGCTGATTTAAACATGAATGGGACGGAAACTCCTAACTAGTTCCTTGAAAGCTTACTACGTTCTCAGAAAGCTCTCCTGGGACATAACTTTACCGTTCTCCATCCTTATGGAGGGGCTTCCGCAATATTTACTCACTAAAGAATTGAGCACAGGCAAGTCTTTGTGTGCGACGGTGAAAACACCTGGCTTGGCTACTGTCTGGCTAAACCGAACGAGGCATATAATGGGACTCTTGTTCACTGCCAAAATCCATACAGGTCCTTTGTGTCTCTCGCCTCTTCAAAATAACTACATAATCCCAAATACTTTAGATGTTTGTAGAGTTAACTTGAGACCAATATGAGCAGTTAGCGATCAAAACCAAGGCATTATACCAGAGCTGTTTTGCTAAGTGTATACGGTATGGAAAAGCTACTGCCAATTTATTGTTGTTCCTTTTAGCAATTTTTAATTTATGGGCGATCTTTCGCGACAATTAATTTGCAATATGTTCATGCTACCCATATCTTCACATTGCAAGGAAAGTGGTACTTCAGCAAACTGAAGTTTATACTTCCCACTGCAAGGAACATTACTATTTTATGACAGACCAACAGACAAGATACATAAGATAGTAGATAAGATAGCTGATAATCGATAAAATAGATTAGAGCTAGATAAATGTAGATAAAATATAGATGGTTTGTGTGCACCAGAATTTCTCCAATAGTAGTTGTTTGTGCTTTTTCTGTTTATTTAATTAGGCCTCATATTCTGCAGACTTGCCCTTTCTATAGGGAGAATTTCCCTTCCAAATAATATAGTATGAAGTATAGTATCTTCAAAAATAAGCATCCAGAAAAATGATAGCTTAGTTAGCATTGTCATGTCAAGAGACGTGTATCTTGGCACTTGCTCACAGAATTTTGCAGATTTCTCCATTTTTGACTACATTTTCCAAACAGGAGAACTCTGCTGTACTAGATTAATTCAAAGGGCAGAGTGGATAATATTCATAACTTCCATGAAATGTAATTTATTTCATAACATGGAGACAGAAGAACATAACTTTATTTTTCTCATTCAATGTGTTCTGCATCTTTTACTTCTTCTTAGCATCTCTATTTAATTTAGAAGTCACAATTTACCACAATAGGATGCAATGCAACCCCAAACAAATTTAAAATTATTTTCTTAAAGCTTAAGAGACAAATGAAGGTTTGGAAACTCCAACTGGTTCCTATCACAATAAAGAATAGATTGGACATTCTGCTACCAATAGTATATTCTCAATTAGCAGAGTAATCCCCCCCCCACATCCCTTTCAGTCTGTTTCCTTACAGCATGTCATATCAATATTCAGCAACAAACCTATTTACAGTTAGGGTTACCATAAAGTGTAATCTTTAAAAGACAGCTTTTAAAATGCCTTCATTATACGTTATACAAAAACTTTGTATTTCTTAAAAACTTTGCTTCTGACCGAGTCAAGATCCTCTAAAACAGTGAGATGAAGTGATTGCAACTACTATAAATTGCAGAGATAAGTAGCAATCAATGCTTTGGAGTCTCAAAATAGCTTCTGCCTATTGGTACTGAAAATAAGCTCTAAATATTTGTTTTACTTTAAGTTATTTCATGCTTTTGACACTATTCCAGGCAAATGTACTGTCTTGAACCCTGCATCTAACTAATTCTGTCCAACTCATTTCTAATATAATTAGGTCCGAGTTACAAGAATTGTTCCTTTATGAAGACCAAACAAAGCTTAAACATCTCTTTATTAAGAAACAAACATTCAAGTAAAATAGTGACACAAATGTGGAAAAGGCAACCCATTGAAATGGGAATAATGAAAGCAGTAAGCTGCCTTCAGGTTTGAATTCAGCAGCGTTTCCCTGTGAAAGTGGAAGCAAGTGGTAAAACAATTTTCATCAATTGCAAATTCTCTTTGTAAAGTTGCTCAGGACGGTTAAGAGATCTTCTGGAGTAGCATCAGAAGAGCCCTTCTTTTCACCTAAAACCTCTGTTGTATCCTCTGGAGAAACATGTTGGAATCCAACCCAGGATAAGTACAGTGCAATTAATCACAGAAAAGGCAGCTTAGTAAACACTGCTTAATTTCCCCCCCAAAAGTGGAACATGAGATCCTGACAAATATCTATGCAAACTCTTGAACATGTTAAGTGAAAAAATTACAGACTGGAACTAAATTTATAGATCTCCTTCAATATATAAAAATAAAGTACACAATCCTTCTCCGGTATGACATCTACCAGATGTGGTTGGGCAGGAATTCCCCAAATGAGGAAATCAGATGGTAATTTTAAGAGTAGTAGTCTCAAAACATCTGGCTCAGAAAGGCTGCTTTGAACCAATCTCATTATTTCTACCGATTGTCTACTTTCACCCGTATGGTTAGATAACATCTCTATGCTAATTCTTATATTGACCAAATTTGATGACGTTCCTGATCATTTCTAGCAAAGTGGATTTAATTCATCTTAATTTTATGCTTGAAGTAATGTATAAAGCAATTTCCACATCAGAACAATACTTTGTATCTAAACTTCCTTTTTTTAAAAAAAAATCTCAGAGTGGCAAGTAAGAATTCCTTAAAATGATTTATATCATCCTTGTCGGATTAAAAAAACAACACATATTGGCATTGAATGTACCACTTAATGGCGTAAACTTATGAATAATTCCTTGCACCCAACGAGATACAGACGTGGTGTTTGAACAGTAATCCACTGTATGAACTCATCAGTATTTTGTAACCAAACAGAGTTTGTAACAAGGAATCACTGCACTTTTTGGCATGACTAACGTAGATTTGGCAAAAACATTGCTGCAAAATTAAAAAGGTCTAGGTAATTGTTAAATTGTGATATTTCAGCAATGAATGCAGTAAATCTATTTAAAAAAAACAAAAAACCCAAAAGCTTTTCCATATATATCTGTAAAGTAAAAACCAAACAAATAAACAATTCAGGTTGCTGTGCATGTTCTTGTTCTGCTTTAGAGATCTTTCTTACTGGAAGCTCCTGTTTGTTGCTGTAAAGTAAAACAGATGTATGAAAAAAATTAGTATAATTATTAGATGGTTGATTTTCATTGCAAAATCACACGGGGAAAAATCACACAAATGGAGAAGAGCTGCTATAATACACCGAAAGTAAAACTTTTTCACGTCTATAGTTCACACTGCACTGAATCCAATATTTTTTTTAATCTATGTGATTTTTTAGAAAGCAAATTCAGTAGCTCTGAGAATTTTCTCTTTTTCCCTCTCCTCTACATTGCCATGCTGGGAATACCAAGTTACTAAAATACTAATGAAGTTAATTGTTTAAAAGAAAATAAGCTTCATTCTAACAAGTGTTCTAAATACATTAAGGAATTCCTGTTATTCTGAAAGAGTACTGTATGTTGAATTAAAAATGTCTTTATGAATGTTGTCTTGGATAAGATACAACGCCATTGTCTGAATTAAAAAAAATCTGCTTGAGCAAATCAGATGCCTCTGCCTCCTACCTGTAGTTTTTCATGTTCTTTTACAAGGAGGTCATATTCTTTTTTAAGTTCTTCAGAGTGCTTCCTAGCAGTAATAATTTCATTTCTTGTTTTCAAGAGAGCTGTAAGACATAGGTGTGATATTATTCAGCACATATAACTGCATTTTTATTAAAATCTGTCCCCTGAAGAATATCATTCTCAAAAATGAAATTATATTTTTTAAATGAGGATCAAACTGGCAAGGACTTTCAGATAGATGGCAAAAGGTGAACTGAAGTTTGAATAATTCTAACTGCTCTGGAATAAACAAAGTACATTTGACAAATAATGCATTTTACCTGAAAAGTCAGAGCAATTGCAAATAAATTGGAAAACTGTTGCATACAGGAAAATAGAGGATAGGAAAAGTAGCTTCAGATTGAGAAAAAAAATGGAGAGGGGACAAGAGTATAATTATTTATATACACACTTGACATATTTGTTAAGGCTTATTTTAAAATGCATAAACTCTTCGTTTAGTAGACTAGCTGGAGGAGAATATACACTGCTCAAAAAAATAAAGGGAACACAAGCAGAAGACATCTGAGATCTGAATGAATGAAATAGCCTTATTAAATACTTTGTTCATTACATACAGTAGTTTTGTGTTCCCTTTAGTTGTTTGAGCAGTGTATAAACTACTGTATGTAAAGAACAAAGTATTTAATAAGGCTATTTCATTCATTCAGATCTCGGATGTCTTCTGCTTGTGTTCCCTTTATTTTTTTGAGCAGTATATGATAAACCCAATCATCTACCGGTGTAAATGACTTTGTTTACACTAACCTGCATCATCATGCAATTATACAAGTGACATAATTATATCAGTCATGCAATCACATAATTAAATACATTTATGTAAATGACATAATTTACATGAATTGCCAAGGCTTTGTTGTTAATACACTTGTCCATTATTTGGTTGTGGAAGAAAACATGTACAGTATTCAATTCTCTGTTAATAAAGATTCGTTACATAACAGTTTAATATTTCCCACAGGAAGGTATTAATTTTACAATGATTTACTATTTTTTTTATATATATTAATGAAAATGGCATAGTATTAGATTGCAAAACAGTTCTTTTTGGTAACTTGATCTTATAGTAACTGAATTACTGTATGCTTTAAGGAGGACAAGCAAAACCTTTTGGTTGTAACTAAAAACAACACTATCTCTAAACATAACCAAGATAACTAGGGATAGTTGCACATTCACTACATTGTTATTCTGTTTTGACAAAAATATACTTGTTGCAAGATGGGTGAGGTCTTCTAAGTAGAAGAATGTCAAAGTTCAGTACATTAAAAAATATTTAGCTTTGGGCTGTGACTGGTAACATCATGTTCGGAAGTGGGCTAGCATCCATATGAACTACACAGAAGGTAGCCTCAGCTTTTTGATTGCTTTAATACTGCAATAAACATTTTTTAAAAAGTTACTGCCACTTCTCTTTCTCCAAAGCAAAATGATCCACAGAGAGCATGAAGGCAATATTTCAAATAGAACCTCTACCAACTTTTTTCTCCAGCAGACAAACAGACCAAATCACTGAAATTCAAATAGAAATGTTTAGAAAGCAGTAATTCAGGCTCCCTTGGGAAGATCACACAACTGTAGCAGAACGCTTCATATGAGTTGGCTATTTCTAATATTTTAAAGCTGCTGAAAAGAATGTTACATATTCTAGATGGCTGACTTCACTTTGAACACATGCAATGAAAGTAGCCCAACACCTTGCTGGCTTTACTGTTTAATTATCTTTACAGTCCCCCCCTCGCCCCCCCGACATTTCATTAGAATCAAGTTGTAACTCAAATCCATTATTTTATTTTAAAAAGATATTTTAAAAAATATTTTTTTAAAAAACATTTTAAACTGTAAACTACCCAGTCTCGTTGAGAGTTAGACTGCATATAAATTTAATCAATTATTATTTTTGATTGCAGTCGGCCAGATGTTTAGACTAGATCTGGCATTTTTATCCACTTACTGAGTCCTTCCCAAGGATCTGAGTGAGATATTGTTGTTTGATTATGTTAAGAGGTATTGTTGCAGGAGGTAAGCTCTGTCAAGTAAAGCTGCCTTTTGCAATTGACTGATGATGATTTTGTCAATGCCCATGGTGTTCAATATGTTTTGGGATTGCACCCAAGGCTCCTATTGCAATTGGTATTATATTTGCTTTCTTTTGTTCACAGTCATTCTTCATCAGCTGTTCCAAGTAATGCTGCATTTTGCAATTGACTGATAGTAGTTTTGATACGGGTTGCTGCCAGCGTCCTAGGTATCAACCAAGTATCTTCTTAAAATGTACGATGTTCTGAGTAGCAAGAGTTTTTTGCAGTTCCGCTGGTGTTATTGCAGGAAGCTGCAATTTCTTGATGTATTTTGTAAAATTCTTGGACATGGTGCCCCTATGACAATGGGTTTCACTGTTACATGTTTCATCCATAATCGCGTAGTTTCGATGGCCAGGTCACAATATTTCATTATTTTTTCCAGTTCTTTTTGACTCTGACGTCTCCTGGTACAGCGATATCAATAAATTGTACACTTCGGTTTTCGACAACTGACACATTTGGCATGTTGTATTCGAAAGTCCCACAAGATCTTCACCCTCTCATTTTTTATAACTTTTTCCAATTTATTTTCCCATGACTTTTCGGACAGTGTAAGTCGTATTTTTTACATAATGACCAGTGGATTAATTTAGCAACTCGGTTGTTGTTATTGTTATTATTATTATTATCTTTATTCATTAAATATGAAACTCAGTCAACCGAACATTGAAAAGTGCATCACAAATACCACTGACTGGTGCTAATGGTTGATACGGGTTGCTGCCAGCGTCCTAGGTATCAACCAAGTACCTTCTTAAGATGTACGATGTGTTGTGTTCCAAGTGACGATCCCTCTGTATTCGAAAGTCCCACAAGATCTTCATCTTCACATTTTCTATAACTTTTTCCACTTTATGTTCCCATGACTTTTTGGATACAGGTAAGTCGTATTTTTTACATAATGACCAGTGGATTAATTTAGCAACTCGGTCGTGTCTAGCTTTGTAATCAGTTTGTGCGATTTTGCTGCATTCACATATTAAATGTGAAACAGTTTCGACTTTGTTGTTGCAAAGTCATTACATCATCATCATCATCATCATCATTATTATTATTATTTACACAACAATGTGAAGTCACAACTGCCGGTATTGGTCCTTCATACACACTTGAGTTCTTTTCAAGAACCTAGGATTTCATCCCACAATGGAGAACAGCTGGGAAAACTAATGGAATTAACAAAGATGGCTATATTAACTGTTGTAATGAAAGAAAAGAACACATCCAATTTTGTTTCTATTTGTTTCTGAACTTTGTTCTTGAGATAAACAAAATGTTGACTTTGGGTTTTGCTGATAAGTTTGTTATAGAAATGACTAGTATAAATAAGTGTGTAGAAAGTAAAAAGTTGAGCCTAAAGAAAGAGTCAAGAGTCTTTCTTTCTTTTTCTTTTCTTCCTTCCTCCTTTTCCCCATTATTTTCATTTGTGCTTTATACTTTGATGAGTTGAATAAAATTATTTTTAAAAAAAGTATCAGTATGGTGCATGTACAGATCCAAGCGTTGTGGCCTTCTGTAATTGAGAGATGGATATTTTATCCATGTGCAGGTAATACTATTTGAATTTTTTTGGTGTGGTACCCAGTGTGCTGATAACCACAGAGACCACAACAGCCCCGTTATGCTATAATCTTTCAGCTTTGATTTTCAGAAGTTGATAATTTTGTGATGTTCTCAAATTTTGTCTCATATTCCACTCTCTTCTCGTATTGCCACATCAATTATCCAGGCTTTCTTCTTTTCAACCAGCTAAACCTGGTGAGTTATGTGTCAAATTTTTCATCAGTTTGTTTTTGGGACTCGCACTATATAGGTAGTCCTCAACTTACCACAATTGAGCCCAAAATTTATGTTGCTAAGTGAGAAATTTGTTAACTGAGTTTTGTCCCATTTTACGACTTTTCTTGCCACATTTGTTAAGTGAATCACTGCAGTTGTTAAAAATAAACCTTTTAATTTCCATGCCTGGGCTAAGTTCAAATGACAAATATGAACCTGCCTAACTAAAAATAGCACTTACAAACTCAAGGCATTATGCATAATTTTCTTTTGAATTTTCTAAAACTATTTTCAGATTTTGACTATAATTTTTTTTTGTTTCATAATGTTGTAGATTAAATTATTTCATAACTATCTAAACCACCACAGGAAACTGTATAGGAAGAAGTTCATCTGAAGAACAATGTTCTTATCATGTTTATTTTGTATACAAGCCATGTCTGTTTATAAGAGCTGGCAAACATTGTGTAAACTTTACTTTCCCTTCCTCATTCCAAATCTTATCATCTTTCTATACATACAGAGGTGCGTGATCAAAACTTTGTAAGTTTCCATATGCACACGTACATCTGTAAAAATGAATATAATTACTGGTGCTAAGCAGTTCTAATGCATACATTTGTCAGTAATACATTTTATGGTTAATATTATTCCCATCCTGCATAAGGAGGAAATCTGACAGATATATTCAACGTTCAAATTCAAATTGAATTTGAAATATATATTTATTAATATTATATTCCCCCCTTTTCAAAAGTTCAAGGACATTGCATGTCCCGTTTTAGTTATTTTTCCATAATAACATTCTTGCTTATGAAATTTATTTTTTCAAGCACACACAGGCAGCTTTTTGCTATGCAGTTCTAAGATACTATTATTGAAAAGAGTTAGATAATGAATAGATCTATAGAATTATACTCATAGGACAAACCTAATCTCTACTATTTACAAGTAGGTCACAATATGCTGAAGGAAAAATGTCTTTTTGACTAACTCTCAAAAATCTAATTTACAATAAAGAGTGATATCTGAAAAAACAGCTTTTGCCATAGTAAGTTCCACATTCAATGCTCATATTTCAGTGTCAATTCTTTTTAGAGGATTCTTGTTTCTTTGGCTGGTGTTTGAAATGCTAATGTTTGGAAAACTCTACCGGCTTAAGACTTTATTCTGTTTGATAGTTATACTGACTTTTGACAATTGTTTTGAGATTTAATTTGAAGACTGACGTTTGCCTTCAAAAAACATCATGTTCTCTGTGTAGTCAAAGATTTAATACTTTTTAGCTGCCTGATCTTCACAAGGTCAAGCAATATTATTCATTTCAGCCAGTAAACACCCAAGAAGTTTCATAAAACTTGCTAGATCCAGAAAGACCATGCAGAGTCAGGAAAATTCTGTCTGTATCGCAGTGCTATTTTATTAAGAAAACCTCGATTGAACAAGGAAGCTAATAAAAGAACAGTTTTATGATAGATACTCTTGGTTTTGATTCTCTTAAAGCAAATGCAGAGAATTTCTATCTAAGTATCCTATTGATTGCAAAACAGATCGTATCAGAATATGGTCCTGATCTTAGAATTTATCAATATGTCCCCAATAATTCTGCACTGTTGTTTTTGCAGTTTTTTTCATGACACAACTGTAACCAGCTGTGCAGTCCTTTATTGAGAAGTAGCTTCTAAAGTTCTCAACAGCTAAGTAAACTACGTTTTAATATTACATTTTAGGGCTTCTATCTGCTTACCAAAATCTGTTTATTATATATGTATGCCACCTAAATCCCAATGAATTTCGGTGTCTCACAAATAAAAGCATCTTAAAAAAACCGGAAAGAATCCTTGAGTTACAACAGAAATTGGGACCAGAATCTCCACTGACAAGTGATGCAGTTATAAATCACAAGTGCATCGCTCAGCAACGGTAACCTCTCCAATCCCACTTGCCATTGTTAACTGAATTTCAGCCATTGTTAGAAGAGGATCTCGTTCCAACTTCCTGCCATTTTCCCACTACCCTGGGGAAGCCAGCAGGAAATTGCAAGTCTGAAGAGGCTTGCAAGAAGGCTGATAGTTAGGTTAAGTGGCTACTGCTAGATGGGTTAGGAGGAAATAGGGAGGCACAGATGGCTGGAGTGACGTGGTGTGAGTGAAACAAGGCTTGGAGTGGCTCCTCTCCCCTGGCAGAGGGAGCAATGGGGTGTGCAGAAGATGTGGCAAGTCTCAGGGAGGGTGCATAAGGATGCGCGAGAGTGGGTCAGCGAGTCTCGGGGAGGATGCATAGGGCTGTTTAAGTGGCAGGGAGGTGTGGTGAGATTCAAGGAAGGTGCAAGAGGAAGGCTTGTGGAAGGTTTGCAGGAATGCACAAGAGTGATGTGACAAGGCTTGGGAAGGATGCTCGGGGTTGCACAAGTTGCAGAGAGGTGCGAGGAGGAGATTGCAAGGGAAGTAAGGCAGGGCTCAGGTTGGGGTTATGCGAGTGGCCAGGATGGCAAGCCTTGGGGAGGGGAGGGGTGTGCGGGGTGGCACAAGTAGCTGGTGTGGTGCAAGCGCAATGGGGGTGGGGAAGCAGGCATGGATCAGGGAGTTTTACCCTAATGATTTTTGACCTTCCCTGCCAGCATCCCCATTGACTTTCTGGAGAAGCTAGTGGGGAAAGGAGCAAATGGTGATTACATGATTGTGGGGCACTGCAACTGGTTTTAAGTGTGAGCAAGTTGCCAAGTTCCCAGATTGTAATCATGTGACCGGGTGGATATTGGGACAGCTGGAACTTCAAGGACCAATGGTAACCACCATTCGTTCAGCACTGTCATTACTTCAAATAGTCATTGAATGAATAGCTGTAAGTTGAGGACTGCTTGTAAAAGATAGCAAGGTGACAGAAACAGGACTGGAATGAAAAAAAGAAACACACCTACACAAACCAAAGGGGCTTTACTCACCCACACTAAAGGCCTGTTACAATCCTTCTTTTAGCTATAGCTGTGCATATCGTGGTTAAAATAATAGAAGCAGGTAGCAACCTATTTGCTCCATCGGAGGGAGCAAGTGTATTTTGCATCCTACATGACAGGGAACAAAATGTTTTGCATCTGTGATTCTATACAGAAAGTATGTTTCCTTAAGCAATAGAACATTTTTTTTAAAAAAAAAAATACCTTCTGAAGTTGCCTTTAATGCTGTTTTTAACTGTTCCACTTCTACAGTTAGCTTCTCATTTGTTACCAAACACAAATGTTCACCGGTAGAATGTTTCATTTCTTTCAATGACTGCCAAAAGGAGGGAAAAAAATAACACATCACTTCTCTGTTTCACGTTTTCCATAATCCTGCCCCTATTCACATTTAGTGGGACAGTGGGAGAAGGCACTTGGTTACTTGGAGATGCCTTTAGGTTAAGTAATTAACCTTATTAACCAAACCGTGACACTGGAGGTAATGCCTTTAGCCAAAGCTGGGACATTGCATAAATGTCTAATTTTGATAAATTAATTTTGATAAATTCTATAAATGCTAATTTTGAATATCCATCCTTTTGAGGTCAGTAAAATGAGGGTCCAGATTAGCAATAGCAATAGCACTTAGACTTATATACCGCTTCATAGTGCTTTTACAGCCCTCTCTAAGCGGTTCACAGAGTCAGCATATTGCCCACAACAATCTGGATCCTTATTGTTGGGGGCAAAGTGGTGACTCTGTAAATTGCTCAGAGAGGGTTGAAGTGGTATATAAGTCTTAGTGCTATTGCTATTTTTTCATTGGTATTAATTTACAGCAAGTATTTTTATTAAAGGACGGAGGCCCTGTAAAAGCAGACGTGGCTGATGAACTAAGAAGCTGTGGTGGGGCAGTGGTTAGAATGCAGTATTGCAAGCGAATTCTGCCCACAGACAGGACTTCGTTTCTCAGTGGCTCAATGTTGACTCAGCCTTCCATCCTTCCGAGGTGGGTAAAATGAGGACCCAGATTTTTGGGGGCAATAGGCTGACGCTTAGAGGGCTGTAAAACACTATGAAGCGGTATATAAGTCTAAGCGCTATTGTTCTAAGTGCTATTATGTCTTGGAACATTATCTAAGAAACATAAGAAACAGAGGCCATGACAGGGAAGTCTATGAATGAAACTGATATGAAAGAGATAGGCAATTAATACAGGAAAACAACAACTGGTGAGCCGGGAAACATACCATTTGCAATTTTTCGTTTTCTTCTAAGCATTTCCGGGCAACTTCATTGCTGTTTGCTACTTCTATTTTCAGAATATTCTCCGTTTCCATCTCATTTGCCAATATAGTGATAAGAGAAACAAGACGTCTCAATACACTATGGAAAACAAAAACAATAACTGATTCATGGCATAACCAAAGGATCAACTGATAATCATTTATATAACTTTCTAATAAGCAAAGGAAATTTCACTTTTTATCATTTTTAAAAGTGATTTAAAATTACAAAAGCTATATTTTAGTTTTTTTAAAAAATCAGACTTTACTGCTGTGCAGTATCCTGAATTGTTCAAATGCTCCAGAAATTATTTGTTACAACTTTAGAGAAACTTCTGATGAATTACAATGTATTTGCCATTAAATTTAGATGGAAATTTTGAAATTTTGATACCTTCAATTTTGGCTTAGGTCTGCAAACCAAATTCTGAACAAGTTTGATCCATATGCAGATATAAATATGGGGTACAGGTAGGCCTTGACTTACAACCATATTGAGCCCATAATTTCTGTTGCTAAGCGACAGAGTTGTTAAATGAATGTGCCCCATTTTATGACCTTTCTTGCCACAATTGTTAAGTGAATCCCTGCAGTTATTAAGTTAGTAACCCAGTTGTTAAGTGAATCTGGCTTCCCCCTTGACTTTGCTTGTTAGAAGGTGGCAAAAGATGGTCACATGACCCTGGGGCACCGTGACCATCATAAATAAATGTCACTTGCCAAGCATCCGAATTTAGATTACATCAAGCATGAAAAATTGTCGTAAGTCACTTTTTTCAGTGCTGTTGTAACTTTGAAAGGTCACTAAATGAAACGTTAAGTCAACGATTACCTGTATAGATAAAATGGCTGTTGAATTCAAAGGATGCTCAATCCATGAGGATAAAATCCAATATATTAAAAAATGTGGACTGAAGGATAAAATACAGTAAAACCCGCATTCCTTGCCTGAGTCTCTCACTCACACATCTCAGAAGCTTTATATCGGACAGTCCAATATATGGAAATCCCTGTAGAATTATTTACTTGAAAGCAGCATGAAGATTTATTTCCTTTCAAGAAATTTAATGGCAAGTCTTCCAAACATAGGGAAACTAAATATAGCATGAGCAGTCTTTTCAATCAATTGGTCTATCACTGCCTTCTGAAACAGAACAGTATTACTCTAAGAAAGGCAGGATCCTTTTTAAAAGCTAAAAGGTCAAGAACAATTTTCTTTTAATATAATCCGTTTTATTAATATGTATTAGTTTTATCCATGAAAATCTGCTGTTCTTTATTTTACTTTATCCAATTCATATATTTTATGTTTTTAGAAAACGTTAACCCATGGCATTCTTATACTTACAGCCAAAGAAAGAGGGAAAATCCTGATATATAAAGATTTCGTTGTGATCTAAAGAGTTTCATGTGAATGTGATCGATTGCGGAATGGGTCGAATGGGGGTTGTCTTCATTTAATTGAACAGTTGAGTATTTCCTCACTTCTCTTACTGCATCTGGGAGCATAAATACATACATACATAAATTGCACCTGCTTTCTATTATCTCTTGTTATTTACTAGTTCAATATAGATCTATACTGCCTATACCAGTGATGGCTATCCTTTTTGCCAGTGTGCCAGGAGCGGGGGGCTGGGGGGGGTCGTGCGCGTGCGTGTCCACACCCATAATTCTAGGTGCCCCGCCCCCACGCATGACCCCCACCACCACGCTCCTGGAACGCGATGTCCCGGTAGGCCCATTTTCCTCTCTCACCTGGCTCCAGAGCCTTTCTAGGAGTCTGGGGAGGGTGAAAATAGCCTTCCCCACCCCCCGGAGGCCCAACATCATAACTGAAATAAAAGCAATATAATATTTAGCAATAATTTTAAAATGGTCCTTAAACAAAAATAAAACAGTTAGCAAAAAAAGTTTTGTACAGTCCTGTAAAACAATTTTTCCCAACCTGATGCTTTCTAAATATTATGGACAATGCATATCTTAATTCTAGCTACCCAAAATGCTGGTAGTATCTGATGAGACTTGCAATGCAAATTTCTAGCCACACTACATTGATTGTCTTAAAGAAATCCATCTCCAGAAACTCTAGTTTTTCTCATAAAAATTCAAAAGTAACTACTGTACAGTAGAAAGATAGAGTGCCACCTGCTGATCCTTTAAAAAACACTTCTTGCCATAAATATAATAGATGTTTTATGCCAATCTTATTTAAGTTTTACTATCAGATAATGAGAAAACACCACTTGCCTCTTGATCAATTGATTTGTAACATATATTTCCTTATCTGCAACAAAATCAATCTTTAGGTAGTAAATACAATCTCCAACACTTTTGCTTTCACATCCTGTTCATATTGCCACATGCAAAATTGATTTTCTACTTACCAAGAAATAAAACAATTAATATAACTATAATAGTAAGGAATGTCTTGTTCCAATAGCTTGCGATTCTATTCCATACAGAGATCATAAAAATCTTATTCCATCTATAAAAGAAACAAATTTCAAAAAAATCAATGTATGAACGCTCCATTAGGTAAGCATCTTAAGCGTATGCACAAAATTACCCAATTTACTTTTCAAGCACTTGCCAATACAGGTAGTCCTTTACTTACGACCACAATTGAGTCCAAAATGTATGTTGTTAAGCGAGACATTAAGCCAGCTGGGGAAATATTTGGTTTAAATCAGTCAGATTAGGTCTGTAAAATTTATAAGGCAGACATCTGCATTTTGACCTGCTCTGCTTAAAAACCAGCAGAAACTTACCACAAATAAATTGTACATAGTCCTCAATGTATGACAATTGAGCCCAAAATTTCTGTTGCTAAGTGAGACAGCTGTCAAGTTTGCACCCATTTTGCGACCTTCCTTGCCACAGTTGTTAAGTGAATCACTGCAGTTGTTAAGTTAGTAACACAGTTGTAAAATGAATACCCTCATTGACTTTGCTTGTCAGAAGGTCACAAAAGGGGATCCTGGGACACTGTTAACTGTCATACTTATTAGTCAGTTGCCAAGCATCTGAATTTTGATCACATGACTATGGGGAAGCTGCAAGAGTCGTAAGTGTGAAAACGGTCATAGGTCACTTTTTTCATGACATTGTAACTTCAAATGGTCATTAAATGAACTATTGTAATTTCAAACTTTCATTAAATGAACTCTTGTAAGTCGAGGACTTCCTGTACTGCCCACAAAAGCTGTTAAAATGTAGAGAGTTTAAGTGAGAACATTTCTATTTTCATAATGTATATAGGTCATAGCCCCAGTATCAATGGGGTCTCTAAATAACCATAAAATATACTAACTAGTTTATGCCAAAGCCGACTTTGCAGAGATGTAAGAACTGCAAAAGATGCAAAGGACAAACTGCCGACAACTTATTTGTTAGGAGAGGGGAAGTTCTTTCAGAGGAAGATAATCTTAGAAATGTAGAAATATGCTTGAGTGTATGTGTATGTGTAGTGTATGTGAGTATGTTAGCCAGAGCAAAATTCAGTTGGAAATCAATGGTGACCATTAACTCAAAAAGCCAATTCATGCAATCATTTTTCAATTGATTTTGCCCCTAAAATACATTTGGATATTTCTGTCTATTGCAAATGGAACAAAGATTGCGGGTGGCCCATTTACCAAAATATAAATCATACATTGATTGGTGTCTTGAAATGTATTAAAAATAGATATGAAGGAAACACAAAACACAAAAAAAGCATGTTCATTATTCATGTAGGACCACTACAAGTAGTCCTCGACTTACAATCACAGTTGAACAAATGGTTATAAGTCGGGGACTACCTGCAAATTCATCTTGTCATCCTGAAACATTTTAAAAATAGGAAGGAAATACAAAAGACAAAAAAAGTATGTGCATTATTCGTGTAGGGCCATTACAGGAAGTCCCTGACTTATAAACATTTGCAGCAACTTGGCTGCCTGGCAACTGACTTGTATTAATCACTGTTGCTGTGTCCTGGGGTCATTTTGAGATCTTTTGACTAGCAAAGTCAACGGGGAAACCAGATTCACTTAACAACCCTGTTTGTTACATGTAGTCCTCAACTTACAACAGTTCATTTAGTGACCGCTTGAAGCTATAATAGCACTGAAAAAAAGTGACTTATGACATCCCCATGGTCACGTGAGCAAAAGTCAGGTGTTTGGCAATCGACTCATATTGACGATGATTGCGATGTCTCAGGGCAAGCAAAGTCAATGAGGGAAGCCAGTTTCACTTAACAACAGTGTTACTAATTTAACAACAGCAGTGATTCACTTAATAACTGTGGCAAGAAAGGTGGTAAAACCGGGCAAAATTCTGTCGCTTAGCAACAGAAATTTTGGGCTCCATTAAGTCAAGAACTACCTGTACTAACTTAACAATTGCAGCGATTCACTAAACAAGCTGCAAAATGGAGCCAAACTCACTTAACAACTGTCTCGCCTAGCAACAAAAATGTTGGGCTCCATAGTGGTCATAAATTGAGGACTACCTGGTATATGACAAACTATATTTCCTGATGGATTTGGGGAACTTCCAGGCATCTGTTGAGCTTACAAAAAGCTACAAGTGGCCTCTTGCTGGAGCAAAGCCTTGGAACCACAGCCACGCAAAACAGACCATGATCAAGCCACCATTTTAAAAGCCCCCGCAAATAAACCCATATTTATAGCCAAATAAAGGCTTTTCTCCTTTAATCTTTCTACCCTTCCTCCCGAAAAAACAATTAAGTTTACTGTCAACCAGCCTGTGTCCCTCTGGGAAAAAACTATATGAGAGGTTTACAGGCAGTCCTCAACTTAGGACCATAATTGAGTCCAAAATCCATGTTGCCAAGTAAGAAGTTTCTTGAGTTTTTGCCCTGTTTTATGACTTCCGTTGCCACATTTGTTAAGCGAATCGCTGCCATTATTAAATCAGATTTCCCCATTGACTTTGCTTGCCTGAAGGTCGCAAAAAGGGATAACAAGCCCCCACCCCTCCCGCAGGACACTGCAACCGTCACATCTGTGAGTCAATTGTCAAAAGCATCCAAATGTCAATCATGCGACCATGGGGAAGCGGCGATGGTCGTTAGGTGCGAAAAAAACGGTCGCAGGTCACTTTCTCACTTCGAACGGTCACTAAACGAACTGTTGTAAGTCGAGGACTACCTGCATATTTTCCCGATGGCTTTGTTGAGGCTCCAGGCACCTGGCTTGGACTTCCAAAGAAGCTACAAGCCTTGATGGAGCCAATCCTTGGGAGCCCCAGCCACTCCTGGCCCAACAGACCATGATCAAGCCACCATTTTAAAAGCCCCTGCAAACAAACCTACATCAACCGCTTCTCTCCTTACTCCTTACTCCCCCCCCCAAACAAACAAACAAATAAACCCCAATTAAGTCAACCAGCCTGTGTACTTTTTGGGGAAAAAAAGAAAAATGGATGAGTTTATTTCCCCCTAACAAAAACTATATGAGGGGTTTATTTTCCCTGAATGAAAAACGGCATGATGGGTTTATTTCTCCCTAAGAAAAAGTGAATGAGGGGTTTATTTCCTCAGAATAAAAACTACATGAGGGATTTATTTCTCCCTAAGAAAAACAGCAAGGGTTTATTTCCTCAGAATGAAAACTAAATGAGGGGTTTATTTCCCCCTAAGAAAATGGCATGAAGGGTTTATTCCCCCCCCAAATAAAAACCGACTTTATTTCTCCTGAATAAAAACTACATGAAGAGTTTATTCCCCCTAAATGGCAAATATTTCCCAAGAAAAGGGCAAATATCTAACAAAAACTATATGAAGGGTTTATTTTCCTTGAATGAAAAAACTGCATGAGGGATTTATTTCTCCTTAAGAAAAACAGCAAGGGTTTATTTCCTCAGAATAAAAACTAAATGAGGGGCTTATTTCCCCCTAAGAAAACGGCATGAAGGGTTTATTCCCCCCCAATTAAAAACTGACTTTATTTCCCCCCGAAAAAAAACTACAGGAAGAGTTATTCCCCCCGAATGGCAAATATTCCCCAAGAAAAGGGCAAATATCTAACAAAAACTATATGAGGGGTTTATTTTCCCTGAATAAAAAAAATGCATGAGGGGTTTATTCCCCCCCCCCGCTCAGAATAAAAACATGAGGACTTTATTTCCCCCTAAGAAAACTGTATGAGGGGTTTTTTTCCCTGCATAAAAAACTGTATGAGGGCTTTATTTCACCCTAAGAAAAGTGCATGAGGACTTTATTTCCCCCTAACAAAAACTATATGGTTTATTTTCCCTGAATGAAAAACTGCATGAGGGGCTTATTCCCCCCCCACCCCCAAGAAAACGGCATGAGGGGTTTATTTCCCCACCCCACGAATAAAAACTGACTTTATTTCCCCCGAATAAAAACTACAAGAAGTGTTTATCCCTCCCCACACACACACGAATAAAAACTACACGAGGGTTTTTATTTTCCCCTGAAGAAAAAGTTCCCTCATAAGAGCAGGCCCGGCCCGGCCCGGCCCCGATTTACCTCACGGGCGAGACGAGCGGCAGGCAGAGCAGGAGCAACAAAGCGATTTCGCCGTAGAGAAAGGCGGCCACGACGCTCCACTGGTAGGTCATGGCGCCTCTGAGGGGGACCCTCCTCCGCCGCTGCTCCTGAGGAGGGAAGCCCCGTTAGCTCCGTCTCAACCGGGGGAAAAAAAATCCTCTCCTCAGGCCGGGACAGACACCCGACTCGCCGGGTCAACGGCCCCCAACCCGGCCGGGGAAGACGACGCGGCCAGACCCGGAGGAGCCACCGGCGTCGCTACCCGCACTTCTCCCGCGCCATCCCGGCCCAGGGAAGCGTCACCCGGGGCGACTCCTCCGCCGCGCGGCCCAGGCTTTTCTGTCAGGCGGCCCGAGGAAAGTCGTTATACCCCGGCAGGGCAGGAAAGCCGCGGTCTCCTTCGCTCCCTCAGGCCGGGAAGCCGCCGTCCAGTCTTCCAGCCGGCCCCCCTCAAGCCGGGGAGGGATTTTTAAAAATATATTTTTACCTCAGGCTTCCCCCTCAGAGGGTGCTTCGGTTTAGGTTCGGCGAACGGGGACGGTTGGGTGGGCGTGTAACGTGTGAACTCGGCCCACGTGGCTGGGAAACTCGGGTTTTGGAGTGGGGGGGGGCGGATGAGTGCAGGATACGAACCTCGCACCTGTATGTTAGGCTTTTTCTCTTTCTTTCTTTCTTTCTTTCTTTCTTTCTTTCTTTCTTTCTTTCTTTCTTTCTTTCTTTCTATCATCTAATTTATCTCTATCATATCTCTATCTCTATTTTCTATCTAATCTCTCTCTCTCTTCTATCTATCTCTATCCCTCTATCTATCTATCTATCTATCTATCTATCTATCTATCTATCTATCTATCTATCTATCTATCATCTAATTTATTTCTATATCATATCTCTATATCTTCTATCTAATCGCTCTCTCTCTTCTGTCTAATCTATCTCTATCTCTAACATCTATCATCTATCTCGATCATATCTCTCACCTAATTTATCTCTATATCATCTCTCTCTCTCTTCTATCTAATCTATCCCTCTATCTCTAACATCTATCTATCTATCATCTAATTTATTTCTATATCATATCTCTATATCTTCTATCTAATCTCTCTCTTCTGTCTAATCTATCTCTATCTCTAACATCTATCATCTATCTCGATCATATCTCTCATCTAATTTATCTCTATCTCTATCATCTCTCTCTTCTATCTAATCTATCTCTATCCCTCTATCTCTAACATCTATCTATCTATCTATCTATCTATCTATCTATCTATCTATCTATCTATCTATCTATTATCTAATTTATCTCTATATCATATCTCTATATCTTCTATCTAATCTCTCTCTCTCTTCTGTCTAATCTATCTATCTCTATCTCTAACATCTATCATCTCTCGATCATATCTCTCATCTAATTTATCTGTCATCTCTCTCTCTCTTCTATCTAATCTATCTCTATCCCTCTATCTCTAACATCTGTCTGTCTGTCTCTGTCTATCTCTCTCTCATCTAATTTATTTCTATCTCTATATCTTCTATCTAATCTCTCTCTCTCTTCTATCTAATCTCTATCTCTAACATCTATCATCTATCTCGATCATATCTCTCATCTAATTTATCTCTATATCATCTCTATCTATCTTCTATCTAATCTCTCTCTCTCATATCTATCTCTATCTTCTAATCTATCTCTATCTCTATCATCTGTCTGTCTGTCTGTCTATCTATCTATCTACTATCTAATCTATCTCTATATCTATCATCTGTCTGTCTGTCTGTCTGTCTGTCTGTCTGTCTATCTATCTTATCTAGATATAGATATATTAAATTTTATTTTAGTACAAATAATCCATCTTCCATTGAACAGTGTGTCATCTGGATGCCAACATTTGTGCCATAACAAGTTAAAATTGACAATCCTATTCATTTATTTAATCTACTCTTAACTTAATACCGATACATGAAATATCTAATACTTGACATCCTCTTCTTAATTTGCTTAACTCTGTTAATTAACTATTTTCTATATTTTACTCATCTACTTTCTAATTTTTATATTTGTCCTCTAAAATCATCGATAAAATGTTTCCAATATCGGATGCTTGGCCACAGCTTCCCTTGCAGACTCTTATAGAGGGGTGTTGCTTTCACACGTGCAATAGGGGATCTGAGCGAATCCAGTGGATTACAACTCTTGGGGGGGGGGGCTGCTGTGTGGCGTATTGGTTTGCAAAGCTGGCTTGCAGGCTTCCCTCCATGGAAGGGAAGAGAGAGACAGAAAGCTGACCCGGTTGCCCTAAATTGTGAGATTTTACACTTTTGTGGGAAGCCCCCTCCTCCTCCTCCTCAAAGAAATGAAATATTTTGGTGCAGAAATATTATATTTCCCCTAAAGGAGAAATGGAGAAGCATGTTCTTGAGAGGCAGAAAACAGCCTTCAGTCTTAATAGTCCACAGCAGATGCCAGCGCTTAAGGAGATAAGGAGCTTATTGAAAGAGGAAGCCAACTATCTAGATGGCTCCATTCATAAGCAATGCAAATAATGGGGTGAGATGAGTCTGCCTATCGAGATGAGCTGGACCGGTTGCTTTCGTGATGTGGAGACAATAACTTGGTCCTTAACACCAATAAGACCAAGGAGCTTATAGCAGACTGTAGAAAGAATACGTAGATCAGACATCCAGCCCTTGGTTATCAATGGAGACGGAGTGGAGCAAGTGGCCAGTTTTAAGTTTCTGGGTGTTATCCTAAAAGAGGACCTGACCTGGGTTGCTCACATTGCAGCACTGGTCAAAAGGGCCCAGCAGAGATTATACTACCTGAGACTTTTCAGGAAACAACAACTGAATGAAAAACTGCTGGTGACCTTCTACCGCTGCACCATAGCGACTATTTTAACTTACTGCATCTGTGTATGATTTGCCAATTGCACAGTGGCAGATAGGATAGTGCTCCAGAGGGTTAACATCATTGCCCAGAGAATCATTGGTTCCCCTCTCCCCTCTTTGGAAGAGCTTTATGGCTCCCGCTGCCTTAAGAAAGTTCAAAAATCCATCTCATCCTGGGCACCCTTTTTTTGAACTATTACCATCTGGCAGACGGTACAGGATAATAAAAACAAGGACAAATAGACTGAAAAACAGCTTCTATCCAGGGCAATAACCATATTGAATTCTATGGTATAGTGCAATATTGGGTTTTCAATTTCAGTTATATAGAATGTAAAGGATGTATGTTTGTGTTTTTATTTTTATAGTTATAATGAACACTGAAGACGGCATTTAAGTTTGTTGTGCCATGTGCAATGACAATAAACTAAATACTGCCAGAAGTCCATTCAAGACAGGATGTTTAGAAACCCCTTTACAGCAGGTGTTCCCAACCTGGGAGTGTGAGACGATATTCCAGGGGGTGAGAAAACTTGGGTTTAGAAGTTTCAAAATTATAGTTGTGTATATGTGTAATTATATGCATATAATTTATTTTTGTAAGGGGTGCGAGAATATATTGGAAGCATTCTAGGGGTCCGGGGTATAGAAAAGGTTGGGAACCCCTGCCTTTACAGCAAAGTTTAACAGCTAACAAAAGCCAAATAATAGGATGATAACAAGCAGCCCCTCACCCAAAATCTAGCACAGGACATAAGCCATCAACCAGAAAGCCCAACACCCTCTTTAGAAACACAAAGCCCATATTGCACAAATCCCAAACTTCAAAAAAAATCCCACAGAACCATATAAGAACCCTTTCTCTCACTCAGCTAGTTGTTCCGCTGACCCAAAACTTCACGCTGTATTTGTTTGCATGTTGTTCTGTTTATCAATAAACTTTCTTTCCAATCAGCCTCCATGTTGTTTCCAGCATCTTTCTCCCATCTTGGAAATGAACCAGATGGATTTTCCTTCCAACACTTCGAAAGCTGGCTAGATCAAGCTAAGTAGCTTCAAACTAGAACTGAACTAGCTTGAGCAAAATTGGCATTCCTCCCAATTTTGAGAGCATTTTTACCAACTATTATAGCACAATTACATTTCAGAAAACCTACCAATTTTCAGTGATGTTGAAAAAAATACAGGGTCCTAACACTGTTGTAAGGACTGCATATGTATTATTTATGTATTTATCACAGTTGGTATGATGAATAAATCTATCTACACCATTTGGAATATTATTTTAAGGAGTGTGGACAATTGCTGAATAACATCCCAAAAATCTGTTTTTTTGTATTTGAAACTAGCTGACTTTGTCCACAAAATTAGATGTTGAAAAACATCTGAGAAGGCAAATCTTGCTATGGAAACATGGATGTCTACACAAAATCACCAGAAGTCAAGATCAACCTGCTTCTACCTTCAGGAGATTGACAACAGCTTCATTATTATTTTTTTTAATTTTTCCCATTTCTATACCTGTTCTTATTTAATAGTTCCGCTACCTTAATCAAATAGGAAATTCTAGATGGCTTGTATTCAAAGGAATAAACAGGGCATTGTCATAATAAACAACAAATGATACATTTTTGCAACCCTCTAGCAAAAGTCAAAATAAACAAGCACTAATAGTTATTCCAATCATCAACAACCATTTGATTTAAAGGTATTTGTAAAACTAGAAGTCTAAGTGCTATTGCTATCCAAAACAAGATTGTTTTAAATTGATTTTATCTAAATGATCCTTGGTGCTCTCTGAACTTGCTTGTTTTCTTGCAGATGTTTCATTAACCCAAACTAGGTAACATCAAAGTCAGTTAAATTATTCTTATGACCAATTTTCACTTACCCACTATTATTCCCCATACTATAGTTATTTATAGCTTCTCTATAGCTTTCTATCGTCCACCCATTTTCCCTGGCCCCATAAAGTTATAGGTTATTTCTCTTAGTGGATTGGGATCACATACCCTGGTGTAGTCCAATTGGCAAAGATGAGGACTAGTAGCTTGAAATCTGAGTTGCTGAATGGGAATAAGTAGGGCGGCAACAACAAGAGCAGAATTGTTCCCAAACTAGTAATCCTGGATTGGTGCAATTAAAACTAAACTATTTCTGGTGCACCTTTATTAATTATATCTCTCCATCCACAAGCTTTAATCAACCTGATGTTCCATATATACTAGTTGTAAATTACTCCACCCAGAAACACATATAGAAAACTTAGGACCCCTGCCTTAAATTACAAATACAGGTAGTCCTCGCCTTACGACCACAATTGAACCCCAAATTTCGTTGATAAACAAGACAGTTAACTAAGTTTTGGCCCATTTTACGACCTTTCTTGCCACAGTTGTTAAGTGAACCATTGCAGTTGTTAAGTTATTAAAACGGTTGTTAAGTGAATGCAGCTTTGCTCGTCAGGAGGTCGCAAAAGGTGATGCCATAACCTTGGGGCAGTGAAACTGTCATAATTACATGTCAGTTGCCAAGCATCTGAATTTTGATCATGTGACTATGGAGCTGCTGCAATGGTTGTAAGCGTGAAAAACAGTCATAAGTCACTTTTTTCAGTGCCATAACTTCAAATGGCACTAAAGCCTTGGTAGTACAGGGGTTTAAGGCACCCTGTTATTAAGCTGGTTATTAAGAACAGCTGCCTACAATTACTGCAGGTTCGAATCTCACCAGGCTCAAGGTTGACTCAGCCTTCCATCCTTTCTAAGGTAGGTGAAATGAGGACCCAGTTTGTGGGGGCAATAAGCTGACTTTGTATAAATATACAAAAGGATGAAGGCTATTGCTGAGCACATTGTAAGCCACCCTGAGTCTCTGGAGAAGGGCGGCATATAAATCAAATTAAATAAATAAATAAATAAATAAAAACAAATGGTTGTGAGTCTAGGACTACCTGTACAACAGGATTATTCCAAGATTAAGAGGTGTGGCATATATGTGAAGCAATTTTGAACGGATGTAGGTTGATAAATACAATCTCATGCATGTTTGTTTTTTAATAAGTCTCATGAACTTACGTCTGACTTTTGCAAGCAGGGACAAAACTGTAGAATAAAGGCTTCAGGACGGTCTCCGACTCCGACTTGATATTTCTTCAGAAAACTACTATATTTCTTCAGAAACCTGCTATATTTCTTTAGAAATCTACTATATTCACTATAGCATGATGTCCATGGAGATTCTCAGTCATCCAGGTCATGGTTGTCCCAAAGGTGCTTTTTTCAAGAGGCAACTGGACTTTCTTGATTTTTTTTTTTTTTTGAAGACATTTCGCTTCTCATCCAAGAAGGTTCTTCAGCTCTCTGACGAACTACAGTCGGAGCTGAAGAAGCTTCTTGGATGAGAAGCGAAACGTCTTCAAAGAAAAATCAGAAAGTCCAGTTGCCTCTTGAAAAAAGCACCTTTGGGATTATAGCATGATCAAAGATGTTCAGCAAGCTATGATCATTCAAATATATACCAAAAGTACACTCCTTCCAAAGAATGGTTATTATCTGGAATGATTAATAGGGGAAGTTTTTAATCAGTTTGTAGATATTAATCTCTGCTGAAAGGAGTGCCGGATACTGGAAGAGGAGGAGGAGAATTACAGGTATTCCTCAACTTACAACCATTTGTTTATTGACAATTTGTAGTTACTACGGCACTGAAAAAAGTGATTTACGACTGTTTTTCACTTTTATGACCATCGCATTACCCTATGGTCACATGTTCAAAATTCGGATGTTGGCAACTGGCTCAGATTTATGACGGTTGCAACGTCCTGGGGTCATGGGATCCCCTTTTGCATCCTTCAGACAAGCAACGGGAAAACCAGATTCACTTAAGAACCATGTTGCTAACTTAAGAACTGCTGTGATTCATTTAACAGCTGTGGCAAGGAAGGTCCTAAAATGGGGCAAAACTCACTTAACCACTGTCTTGTTTAGCAACATAAATTCTGAGCTCAATTGTGGTCGTACGTCGAGGACTTCCTGTATATGTTTTTGTAATCAGCATCTTTCTTTATTAAAACCATATAATATATATATATTATAGCCATATAATAGCGCTTGGTCCGAACAAACCAATTTGAGATTATGGTTCACAGTTTGCACCTATCAAGATATAGTTTGCCTGATGAGGGCCGAATAAACCTATGTACCAGTGATGGGTTTCAAATTTTTTTATTACCGGTTCTGTGGGTGTGGCTTGGTGGGCGTGGCTTGGTGGGCATGGCAGGGGAAGGATACTGTAAAATCTCCATTCCCACCCCACTCCAAGGGAAGGATACTGTAAAATCTCCATTCCCTCCCTAATCCAGGGGAAGGTTATCGCAAAATCCCCATTTCCTCCCAATCAGCTGGGACATGGGTGGCAGAAAATAGATGGGGAATTTTTACTACCAGTTCTCCAAACTACTCAAAAGTTCCACTACCGGTTCTCCAGAACTGGTCAGAACCTGTTGCAACCCACCTCTGCTATGAACGCTTGCTGCTTTTATTCACAATTTGCTCATAAGGAAATGCTAGCATCGTATAAATGCACATACTGAAATCCTTGAGTAGAAAAAAAAACAATCGTAGACGTCCACAATTTTAAAATAAGTTTGTTTTTCTCGCGATTTAAATATATCTAGGAGGCTACCGAACGCCATAATTATCTCTAAGGTAGTCCAAAACAGCAGACGTACTTGATAAAACATTAAAAATCTTCTTTTCTTGCTTCGAAGTCACTCTCTCCAGCATGTACATTAAATGATGATGGAAGCAGGTAAAAGGGGTACCTTGCTCGAGGGCTATGTCCACCCAATCCTGGACACACTGCAGAGGTGTGTCTTCATATCCTGCAAATAAAGCCGGATTGGCTAAAAGCCCTCTCGCAACCATGACACCTACCAAAGGAAAAGAAATATATTTTCAGAAAACCACAAAGACGTACTTCAATTTTATCTTAAAACTGGAATGGATAATTTTTTTGGTATCCACTGATAGTGTCCACAGTTGTACTATTTTGAGGAGTAGGGCAGAACAGGAAAAGGAGAGGCGTTGATGGAAAAATATTGGACCGTGTTTTTTGATTCTTTCTTTCCTGAGTCTAAATCTTTCTCAAATCTTGGCAACATGAAGATGGCAGACTTCAAATCCTCAAAATGCAAAAATATATAATGCCAACTTTGGACAAGAGGAGGCTGCAGAGATCACAAAATGCAAAGGGGTAGGTGAACATGGATTGCTCATCAATCTCTTGAAGGTGATGCACATTTCAAAGAGCTGGAGAAGTTGCGTGACCTACTTAAAGAGCGTCATAATTTCTTATTTATTAAAAAGTTCCAGGATGCTGGCTATTCACCAAATGGGAGCTAGAGGAATTGATTAACGGTAATATTGAAGATACTAGAAGCAGAAAGGCAGCATTCTGGAAGATTCAGATGATTAACAGAGGGAGACAGTTTTGACTAAATTTCAATCGGGTCTTAGAAACTTAGGAGAAAGACCCATTTAACCCAGTGAAAAATATTTCTTAGAAATATGAGCTTACACCGTATAACATGAGCTCCTTGTGTAGCTATTGAAAAGAGGAGAGAGTAGTGGTTTCTAACCGTAGCCATTTTAAGATGGGTGGACCCAGGGGTGGGCTGCTGGGGGTTCGTAAGGGTTCGGGAGAACCTCTAGCTAAGATTCTGTGCAGTTCGGAGAACCCTCAAATCCCACTCCTGGCTGCCTCACCCCACCCCTCCCCTCCCAGGAATCCCCACGTGGCCCATTTTGGATGCAGATAAGTGCAGGGCACACACGGAGGCTCAGGGACGGCGAAAAACAGGCTTACTGGAAATTCGGGAAGAGCCAGAAACGGGCCTGTTTCTGGCCTCCAGAGCCTGGGGAAGCCATTTTCGCCCTCCCGGAGGCTCAAGAAAAACCTCCGGAGCCTGGGGAGGGTAAAAACGCCCCCCCCCCCCCCGTGGTGCAGGAGGCCAATTTAGGCCACACCCACCATAGCCACACCCACCCAGCAACCGGGCAGAGAACCCCTTGCTAAAATTTTTGAAGCCCACCTCTGGGTGGACTCCAGCTCCAAGAACAGCCTAGCCAGCATTGCTGGAAACAAGCATCGGGGAGAAAAAACTCAGAAGAACCAAGGTTGTCCTCACCATCAGCTCCTGTTCTTTGATGAATGGCCTCCACATCTTTCAGGGATTTCACGTCACCGTTAGCTACCACCGGTATGGAGATGCTATCTTTAATTGTCTTAATTGCATCGTAGTGCACCGGCTGGTGTCTTTCCTCTACACTTCTGCCATGTACGCTGATCCAGGATACGCCGGCTGACTCTGCTTTTTGGCAGAGGTCTACAGTTCTTTTGAGATCTTCATGGATCCTTCCGTTCCATGCGAGAGAGAAAAATGGTAACTCAGCAGGTGAAAATATTTTCTCAGCGTGAAAATATAGTGAAGAATTAAGAACGGGGAGGGAGGGAGAAACATATACATATATGTATGTACAGGTAGTTCAATGCCACTACCAGACGTTCGATCCTGACTGGCTCAAGGTTGACTCAGCCTTCCATCCTTCCGCGGTCGATAAAATGAGGACCCAGATTGTTGGGAGGCAATAAACTGACTCTGTAAACCGCTCAGAGAGGGCTATAAAGTACTGTGAAGGGGTATATAAGTCTAAGTGCTATTGCCCTTCCTTCCTTCCTTCCTTCCTTCCTTCCTTCCTTCCTTCCTTCCTTCCTTCCTTCCTTCCTTCCTTTCTGACCTAGGCTTCCTGAGTCAGTAAAACACACGAGTAGTCCCAAAAACCTCTTTTATTTCAACAGCTGGGAATTCTGTTCATTCACAGATGAGTCCCAAATAGTTGTAAAGAATCCTTTGGGTTAAGGCTGATAATCACCCACCTTTATCTCCCTTGACACCCTGCCAAAGACCTAATTGGCAAAGCCACACGGAGTCCAGAATCAAACAGAGCTTCAGACTTTAAACTGCACAGAATTAACAATGTTGTTTCTTGCAAAGGCCCACACTCCTTTTTTAAGTCTTATGGGAGGGGCCAATCATCTCCAAGCGCTACTCCCGAGTCGTCCCTTTTGTTTTAGCTAGTCTTGCCTTCTGGCAGCTCTGCACATGCGCGCATTGGGAACAGGCTCCTCCCGTTCCTCTGCCTCGCTGAGGTCCGACTCTGGAGGCTCCAGAGGCAGCACGTACCTCCCAGATGGCCCTTTCTCTGCCTCCGATGCAGAGCCCTCGTCCGAGCCTTCCCCAGACTCCAGGACTGGCCCATGTTCCTCCCCAGCCTCCTCACTGTCCGACTCTGCTGCCAGCTCCACAAGCTGCTGGCGGACCACTCCTTCCTTCCTTCCTTCCTTCCTTCCTTCCTTCCTTCCTTCCTTCCTTCCCTCCCACCTTCCCTCCCAGTGGTTAGAATGCAGTATTACGGGTTAACTCTGCCCAGTGCCAGTAGTTCGATCCTGACCGGCTCAAGGTTGATTCAACCTTCCATCCTTCCGCGGTCGGTAAAATGAAGACCCAGATTGTTGGGGGGGGGGCAATAAGCTGGCATTTGTGAAGCGCTATGAAGCGGTATATAAGTCTAAGTGCTATTGCTCTTGTGGCATTATTCCTGAATCATATAAATGCCTTGATTTTTTCACTGAATCATATGGTTACGAATGAAAGACAGCTTCTTAATGGATAATTTGCAATATCTTTTTATGTAGGCAATAAATAAAATACATTTTATTTTATTTTTTTCCTGCTGCCCGCCACATCTATAAGGCGATACACACATATATATCTATAAAGGACTTACCGTATCTTAATAGATACTGAAAATGTGGGGTTTTCTACTTGATTTCTTACTGATCTCACCATCTCTTGTATCAGTTGTGGTTTGTTTATTAAGCAAGCACCATAGCCTTCTGCCATGGCCCATCTGGAAGAAAACAATAGAGGACGTATGGCGATTACTTCAGAGAGAGAGAGCAACCCTGATGTCCCACTGACAAGGTCCCTAACCAGTCCAGAAGAGAATGGACTGCCATCTGTCAGAAACGATGTAAGGTCACCTGCTTGGGTAGGTGGGTGGGGTGGGGTTGGACTAGATGACCTACAAGGTCCCTTCCAACTCTCTGTTGGAAGGGACAACTCTCTGTTGGAATCTGTCCCCCTTTAAATACCTTTTGTGGCCATGGACCAGCAAGACTTAACTCAAGATTTAAATCACAACATTTCTTCATGCTTTTGTGGTCCGTGGACCACAGGTTGAGTACCTCTGACCTACCATGTTTATACTAAAAAGACAATTTAATCAGACATTTAAACAAAAAAACATATAAAGCTCCAATTTCTTTGCAGCTTTACCTATTTTGAAATGTGAAGGAAGCAAATAATAGCGTACAGAAAATCAGTACAACAGCACTTGCCTTAAGAAATGATTCTCCATATTTTGTTTCAGGTCTCTTACCTTTGCGGACAACCACAGTTTAAATCTACGCCATCTGCAAACGGACTAACAAGGCCAGCTGCGTCTGCTAAAACTTGTGCTTCTTTAGCAGCAAACTGAACAATCAAAGGATGGTCACCTGTAAAAAAATGAATTGCAATAAATAAATAAAAATCCTTGTTATTTAGGGAAGAAGGTGCATTCTAGAAACATCAATGAGAGAACCCAGGTGGTGTATTGGCTAGCACTGAATTCCAGCTAGGGAGAACTTGGCTGAATGAAGCCAATCATGGTTTTATTCAGGATGGATGGAACAAACCAGGATTTAGTGGGAATCTGCGGTCCTATGCACTAAACTTTCTTTAATCTGTTGCCCTCCACGTATCTTGAGTTTGAAATTGTTCTTCCATCTACTACTACTTGTTCAACTCAGCTGTTTTAAATTCAATGGATATCTTTGACTAGAAGCTACTTCCAGTCCCAGCTATTTTACAAATTTCCTGGTATATGGAGATGCATATTTTGGGGGATTTCTGGAGAATAACATCTTAGAAATCTACTAAAGGAATAAGGCCTTGATCGAAGGATAATTTAACTTGAAAGAAATAGACTGAAGAAATATTTCAAATTTGGTGGGAAACAAATTGAAGGTTTACTTCCTAGGACTACAAGCTGTTAAATTGATTCTTCTATCACACTAAAATTACATTTAAATTAAACGAAAATTAAATTAAAGGGATGTGGTGGCTCAGTGGCTAAGATGCTGAGCTTGTCGATCGAAAGGTCGGCAGTTCAGCGGTTCGAATCCCGAGTGCCGCGTAACGGGGTGAGCTCCCGTTCCTTGTCCCAGCTTCTGCCAACCTAGCAGTTCGAAAGCACGTCAAAAATGCAAGTAGAAAAATAGGGACCACCTTTGGTGGGAAGGTAACAGCGTTCCGTGCGCCTTTGGCGTTGAGTCATGCCGGCCACATGACCACGGAGACATCTTCGGACAGCGCTGGCTCTTTGGCTTTGAAACGGAGATGAGCACCGCCCCCTAGAGTCAGGAACGACTAGCACATATGTGCGAGGGGAACCTTTACCCTTATCACACTAAATAGTTTGTTCCGTCATTCTTACTGAATAAATCACTCGTGGCTTCATTCTAACAACATACCAGGCCAAAACCAAGCATATTATTTCAAGCAATGGGTGGAAACTAATCAAAGAGAGAAGCAACTTAGAACTAAGGAGAAATCTCCTGACAGTGAGAACAATTAGCCAGTGGAACAACTTGTCTCCAGAAATTGTGAATGCTCCAACACTGGAAGTTTTTAAGAAGATATTGGATAACCATTTGTCTGAAATGGTGTAGGGTTTCCTGCCTGGGCAGGGGGTTGGACTAGAAGACCTCCAAAGTCCCTTCCAACTCTGTTATTCTGTTCTGTTCTGTTCTGTTCTGTTCTGTTCTGTTCTGTTCTATTCTATTCTATTCTATTCTATTCTATTCTATTCTATTCTATTCTATTCTATTCTATTCTATTCTATTCTATTTTCTCTGTGCAATGATTTGATCCTAATCAGTGTCTTCCTGAGCTATAAATTAGATTGTCTGTAAGTTTTAAAAAGATATTTTGAGGACAACTAACTGAGCATTAAAAACAGGATTATAAAAGCTCCAGAGGGGTGAGAAAATGTATACGCAACCTACCTTGATTTGTTGTAAATTCACTGTGCCTCGCTTTCAAAGATCTGACAAAATCAGCCGCTATGATCATTGGCGTGTAGCATAAATCACAATCGTATTTCCTGACTAAAGTTCTGAAGGATAATCTACAAATATAAAAGCATTCGAGATAAGGACATTTTTCATAGATTGCCATAGGTTTGCCATCATGGCAGGAGTGAAATCCAGCAGGTTCTGGAGAACCGGTAAGCGGAAATTTTGAGTAGTTCGGAGAACCGGCAAATACCACCTCTGACTGGCTCCAGAGTGGGGTGGGAATGGAGATTTTGCAATATCCTTCCCCCAGGAGTGGGGAGGGAATGGGGATTTTTGCAGCATCCTTCCCCTGGAGTGGGGTGGGAATGGAGATTTTGCAGTATCCTTCCTCTGCCACGCCCACAGAACCGGTAGTAAAAAAAAAAATTTGGATTTCACCACTGCATCACGGTACTAGAGGATGATATCCTTGATAAAACACGGCTTGCAAATGGAACAAAAGAGTCATTATTGGGTGAAGGCACGCATGACGCTGACGGATTTAGGCAGAACGCGAAAACAGCACTTACTTTGAATACCTAACCATAGGAGCACAGATTTTCACGACGGGTTCTGAATGAAACAAATCAACTGGGTTGCTTAGCGGGGACCGTCCCATTTGCCTGGGGAGACTGCAGTCATCAATGTTATCAGGCCACATCTACGAAAACAAAATTTTAAGAAGAGGACGTAATAACCATTTCCCTAATTTCCATCGCCATCTCCTTCGATGATGAACTGAACTCTCACAATCTCGAGTTTGATTCTGACGGCTGCAGCTCCCTCTGGCGAACAGTCTCAAAATGTCTTAATTACACCTTTTTTTAAAAAAAAAACAAAAACAAAGGAGAAACCTGAAAAGGGGGGGGGCGCACATCCGAAAGAGATTCATAAGGATTAAAAATAATTATTGATCACTTTGTTTTATAAAGGAGGAATCAAAAACAAAACCGAGAAAATAGTCATGAAATTACATAAATCTCAAGGACAGCGTTCTGAAATAAAAGACTATAGGATAGTCTTTTATCCTATAATTAAGCCCCAAATTCAGTGCAACAGTCCAAGGTCAGCATTTCTCGACCCTGGCTTTATAAAGGGTGGACTTCCACTCCCAGAATCCCCTGCTGCCTGGTGGATTCTGGGAGTGGAAGTCCACCCATCACAAAATTGGCGTGGTTGAGAAACGCTGGATTATATGCAGGCCAGATACAACTCCAAGAATTCCCCAGCCAGCAATGCTCGCTGGGGAATTCTGGGAGTTGAAGCCCACAAGTCTTTTAAATTGCCAAAGGCTGAGAAATACTGGAAGCCATCAATCCCAGCCTGAGCATATATCTTCCTCTTCCTTCTTTCCTTCTCTTTCTGCCCCTACCCCTATCTCTCCTTTCTTTCTTTTTCTTTCTTTCTCTTTCTGCCCCCTCCCTCCTTTTTCCTTTTTTTTCTTTCTCTTTCTTTCTTTCTCTTTCTGCCACCTCCCCCTCCCCCTTTCTCTCTCTCCTTTCTTTCTTTTTCTTTCTTTCTTTCTCTTTCTGCCCCCTCCCTCCCTCCCTTTCTTTTTTCTTTCTCTTTCTGCCCCCTCCCTCTTTCTCTCTCCTCTTTCTTTCTTTCTTTCTCTTTCTGCCCCTCCCCTCCCCCTTTCTCTTTTTCTTCTTTCTTTCTTTCTTTCTTTCTTTCTTTCTTTCTTTCTTCCCCTCCCTCTTTCTCTCTCTTCTTTCTTTCTTTCTTTCTTTCGTTCGTTCTTTTTCTTTCTTTATCTCTCTCTCTCTCTTTCTGCCCTTCCCTCTTTCTCTCTCCTCTTCCTTCCTTCCTTCCTTTCTTTCTGCCCCTCCCCCCTCTCTCTTGAAAAAAGCAACAACAGCAACAGGGGTAACAAAACCTCTGCGGTCATCTTTAGCAACACCAACCTCTGCATTATCACCAAAATGCCGTGTATTCACACGTGAACAATACACACGAATGCAAAATGCTGCCTTACTCTTTAGGCTCCGTCCAACCTCCCCCCAAAAATCTGCCTGCGCTGTAGAGAGAGAAGAGAGACACAGCCTTTGCCCTGATTTTAAGAGAATAAATAATAAACTTACCGTACAAAGGGATGCACGACCTTAATTTCTGCTAAAAACCGAAGACAGCTCCCGCTCTCGACTCCTTTGCAGCTCTTTGCTGAAAATGTGCCCTATTGGACAGCGCCTAATCCTTAATTCCCGCGCATGGAAGAGACCATGAGCTCCTTGCTCTAATTTTCTCTCTCTACGAAGGGTCCCCTTGAATTGCTGCCGCTTTGGCCGATTGGGGAAAATCAGATTCACACGTGCTGCCTTGACTTTCGAGTCCCTGATTCGCCCAGCAGGGTTCCTTCAATCTCTTCCGGGATGGGAGAGGCGATGAGGCTTTGCCTGAATGAATCATAAAAGTCGGAATTTGGCTTTTTGTGCTGGAGAGGGATCTTCAAGTGTGGGTGTGGAATTTCTGCACAGGACCGGGTGGATTTACACTTGAAGGATTCAAAAGATTTTTGCAAGCCCCTGCAGCACCTCTGTCCTGCTCCAAGTTGCCACTTGCAATATTATGCATTTATCCATCCCTCCTTTCTTCCAAGAACTATATAATAGATAGATACAGTGGTGGGATTCAGCCAGTTTGCACCACTCCGGGAGAACCGGTTGTGAACTTTCTGAGCAGTTTGGCAAACTGGTTGTTGGAAGAAATCATTAGGGCAGAGAACCAGTTGTTAAATTACTTGAATCCCACCACTGGATAGATAGATATAGATAGATAGATAAATAGATAGATAGATAGATAGATAGATAGATAGATAGATAGATAATAAATTGATGGATGAAGATATATAGATGATACATAGATGCGATCGATAGATGAAATTGGTACATGATCGATATAGATAAATAGGTAGATAGATAGATGGATAGGTAGATAGATGATAGAGATGATAGATAGATAGATGATAGATGAAATAGATTGATGATAGATATAGATAGATAGATAGATAATAAATTGATGGATGATAGATATATAGAAGATACATAGATGTGATTGATAGATGAAATTGATACATGATAGATATAGATAAATAGGTAGATAGGTAGATAGATGGATAGGTAGATAGATGATAGAGATGATGGATGGATGGATAGATAGATAGGTAGATAGATGATAGAGATGATAGATAGATGAAATAGATTGATGATAGATATATAGATAGATAGATAGATAGATAGATAATAAATTGATGGATGATGATATATATAGAAGATACATAGATGCAATCGATAGATGAAATTGATACATGCTAGATATAGAAGATAAATAGATAGATAGGTAGATAGATAGATAGATGGATGGATAGGTAGATGATAGAGATTTTAGATGATGGAGATGATGGATAGATGGATAGATAGATAGGTAGATAGATGATGATAGATAGGCAGATAGATAGATAGATAGATAGATAGATAGATAGATAGATAGATAGATAGATAGGTAGATAGATGATAGAGATGATAGATATAGATAGATAGATAATAAATTGATGGATGATAGATACATAGAAGATACATAGATGCGATTGATAGATGAAATTGATAGATGATAGATATAGATAAATAGATAGGTAGATAGAGATTATAGATAGATAGACAGATAGATAGAATGAATGAATGAATGAATGAATTCTGGGATTTGACGTCCACACATCTTAAAAGTTGCTACGATTGAAAAACACTGAAGAAACCCACCCCGTCTTGGCATCTCTTACCTGAAGTCGGGGCTCAGCTTCTACCGGAAGACATGATCCCATTTAAACCCAATTTAAATTTTTTTCCCTCCAAAGTTCCCTAAAGTTTTTTTCCGCCCCTATGGGGCCACTCTCTGTCGAGTTCTTCTAGTGCGCAGGCGCAGAATTCTCCAGGCGGAACTCGGAAGCGCCGCATCCCCCGCTCAGAAAGGCTGTTATACACCTCTACAGTGGCGTCTCTCTCTCTCTCCGCATTTCCCGTTCACCCTTCTAACCCGTCAGCTTCCGGCCACGCCCAGCCCCCCCCACCCCCCGTCGGCGCGAGCGACTTCCGGTCCCCAGAGTGCCCTAGGCCGAATCATGGACCACAATGGTGAGCGGGGGAGATGCGGGGGAGCTCCGTTTGAAACCCACCCCGGTCGCGTTCCGTCGTCCAGGCCGGCCGGGTTTTCCCCTTCCGAGCGGGGGGAATGGCGCGGGGTTTCGGGCGCTGAGGCCTAGCGCGCTGAGGCGGGGAAAGACCCCGGAGTCGAGTGCGGCCTACCTCGGCCTGGCTCCGGATGGGCCCAAAGTGGCCTTTTCCCCCCCTTATGGAAGCCGCCTCGTCGGGTTGTGTCAGTCAGTGGCCGTCGCCGTGCTGAGGGGCGCCTCCTGAGGATCACCAGGCCCGTCCCTGGCGGCCTGGCTCCTTCCCTTCCCCTCACACAGGCTTGGTTGGCCCGAGGTGGGAGTGGAGGGGGGGGGCTCTTCATGGACCCCCCCTGCTCCCCCCTCCCCTCCTCCCTCTTTCTGACAGGCCTTCCCCGTTTTCTTGAGCGCTTTTCTCCAATCTGGGTGTGGACTACAACTCCCAGAATTCCCCCATGCTGGCTGGGGAGGGGAAATCAAGCAAGAATGGAGCTGGAAGAGGGGACCTTGGAGGTCCTCTAGTCTGACCCCCCCTGCCCATGTAGGAGACCCCGTACCCTTCTGAGACAAGTGGCTCTCCAGTTTCTTCTTAAAAGACCTCCAGTGAAATTTATTCAAACAATCCAATCAGAATAGGACTGGAAGGGACTCGGGAGGTCCTCTAGTCCAGCCTTGTACAAGTTGAGACAAGCGACTGCCCAGTCTCTTCTTAAAAATCTACAATTAAATTTATTCAAATCAGTTAAATCAGGATGGAGCTGGAAGAGGGGACCTTGGAGGCCCTCTAGTCTGACCCTCCCCCCCCCGCCCAAGCGGGAGACCCTGTACTATTTATTATTTATTTATTTATTTATTTTATTTCTATACCGCCCTTCTCCCAAAGGACTCAGGGCGGTGTACAGCCTAATTAAAAACACAAACAGACAAAATTTAAAAATAATTAAAATTATTAAATAATAGGCCCAATTTATAAAACTCCAAATTTAAAATCCCATTTAAAACCAATTAAAATCTTTACATTGGTAGCCCAGCCTGGCGGAACAACATGGTTTTGAGGGTATTTGAGACTCTCAGACTCTTCTTAAAAGCCTCCAGTGAAATTCATTCAATCGATCAGTCAATCAGGATAGAACTGGAAAAGGACCTTAGAGGTCCTCTAGTCCGCGGCCCCTTGCTCAAGCAGGAGACTCCATCCAAAAAAAAAAAAAAGCCTGACTAGGTGGCTCAGTGGCTAAGACACTTGAGCTTGTCTGCAGTTTGGTGGTTCGAATCCCTAGGACAGGTTCCTCCGTGATCAGGGGGTTGGACTAAGTCCCTTCCAACTCTGTTACTGTTATATTAATTTCAGACAAGTGACTTTCCAGTCTCTTCTTAAAAGCCTCCAGTGAAATTGATTCATTCATTCAATCAATCAATCGGAATGGAGCTGGAAGGGACTTCGGAGGTCCTCTAGTCCAGCCCCCTTCTCAAGCAGGAGACCCTGTACAAGTTGAGACAAGTGACTGTCCAGTCTCTTCTTAAAAGTATCCAGTGAAATTCAGTCTAATCAATCAATCAAATCAGAGCTGGAAGCGGCCTTGCAGGAGACCCTGTAGTATCCCATTCCGATGGTTGTCCAATCTCTTCTTAAAACCTCGAGTGATAGAGCATCTACAGCTTCTGGTGGCAGATGTTCCCCTGGTTAATTGTTCTCCCTGTCTCCTTAATTCTAGGTTGCTTCTCTCCTTGTTTAAGTTTCCATCTGTTGTTTCTTAGTCTTGCCTTCAGGTGCTTTAGAGAACAGGGTGACACCCCCCCCCTCCCCGCTCTTCTTTGTGGCAGCCCCTCAAATATTAGGACTCTGCTATCATATCAGCCTAGTCCTTCTTTTCATGAAGCTAGGCATACCCAATTCCTGTTCTTTAGATGTTTTAGTCTCTGAATGCCTTACTTCTAAAAGTTGCCAAAATTGAGAAAGACCGACAGGTAGTCCTCGACCTAAGATCACAGTGCAGTCCAAAATTTCCGTTGCTAAGCGAGATAGTGAAGTGTATTGTGCCTCATTTTGTGACCTTTTTTGCTACAGTTCTTAGGCGAATCACTCCAGTTATTAAGTGAATCGGGGGGGGGATTTCGTTAAGTGAATCTGGCTTCCCCCATTGACTTTGGTTATTCGGAAAGTTGGAAACTTTGGAAATTTACAAAGAGTGATCCCATAAACCCGGGAGAGGCGGTGTGCAACCGTCATAAATACATGCCAGTTGCCAAGCATCCAAATTTTGATCACGTGACTATGGGGATGCTACCGTGAAGTATGAAAAACAGTTGTAAGCACTCTTTTTCAGTGCGGTTGTAACTTTGAATGGTCATATAATGAATCGTCGTAAGTCGAGGACTACCTGTACTTGAAAGAGACTCACCTGCTCCGCAGATCCACCCCTTACAGGGAAAGTTTGAAGGAAAGGCTCTTTTTGATTTTGCTTGCCTTCTTTACCCTGGCTTGCTCCCTTATTTACGATTTTAGAATATCGCAATCTGCCAAAAAACCCAGTGTGACATCACACTATTCTTCCTCTTTTCTCCAACATGCTCCTATCGGGTGAGTTTGATTCAGAGGTGGGTTTCAGCAGGTTTGAGCAATTCTGGAAAACCGGTAGTAGCAGAAATGTTGAGTAGTTCGGAGAACCGGTAGTAAAAATTCTGACTGGCCCGCCCCCATCTATTCTCTGCCTCCCGAGTCCCAGCTGATCGGGAGGAAATGGGGGATTTTGCAGTAACCTTCCCCTGGAGTGGGGAGGGAATGGAGATTTTACAGTATTCTTCCCCTGGGCATCAACTTGCATGCTGTGACAGCCTTCTGCTAGGACATTTATGTTAAATCATATTAAATCTGAGCCAATTTATTTATTATTTTAAATTTTAAATTGTTGTTTGTCTGTGTTTTTAAATAGGCTGTACACCGCCCTGAGTCCTTCGGGAGAAGGGCGGTATAGAAATAAAATTATTATTATTATTATTATTTTTATTATTATTATTATTATTATTATTATTTATTATTATTATTATTATTATTATGTGCCTGCAAAACTCGGGCAACCGAGTTTGCCGTGGGAACTGAAGACCTACGCTCAGAATTTGGGAGAGGAAAACAATTATTACCTTTGCAAAAGTGGCTTTTTTTTTGCCTACCCTAAATACAAATTACCAAGTAATTCAGGCAAAGCCAAAAAAAAAAAAAAAAGTATTTATTTAGGGAGAATGAATATTTTTATAGAGTACAGAAATAAACAATACAGTTTGGTATCTGTGATAGAAAAGCATTAGATCAAGAAGGCATTGATGACATGTGAGGTTTGGACAATACTAAACGTTGATTCTAGATAAGGTTCCACGAGGGGCAAAATTTGTGGGTTACGTTTGCTCTCTTTCCCAGCTGGGTTTGTATCTTTTTTAGACTTGCAAGTGTGTTCAAGGACATTTCAGGATACACTTTCTATCGTTTAATTGCTGGACAAACAAGTTCTCGCATACCAAAAGGAATGGCCTTGGCTCAGAAGAAAAACATGCTTTATTTCCTAAAATTAGAAAAGAGATCTAGATGGCCATGCTAACATCATCTTTTAAAATGCAATAAAGATAAAGGTTCCCCTCGCACATACATGCTAGTCGTTCCCGACTCTAGGGGGCGGTGCTCATCTCCGTTTCAAAGCCGAAGAGCCAGCGCTGTCCGAAGACGTCTCCGTGGTCATGTGGCCGGCATGACTCAACTCCAAAGGCGCCACGGAACGCTGTTCCCTTCCCATCAAAGGGGGTTCCTATTTTTCCACTTGCATTTTTTACCTGCTTTTGAACTGCTAGGTTGGCAGAAGCTGGGACAAGTCACGGGAGCTCACCCCGTTACGCGGCACTCGAGAGTCGAACCGCTGAAGTGCCGACCTTTCGATTGACAAGCTCAGCATCTTAGCCACTGAACCACAGTGTCCCTAATACAGGATGGCAAATTACTTCGTGAGAGAGAAATCTTTCATTGCTATAGTTTATTTGGAAGGCTTATGAATAACTTAAGAAAACTCTCTACTAGCGCTTCTTTTAATGTCTGGCACACACACAAAAAAACTTTGAAACTCTGTGTTAGAGTTTTAATATTGTTTAGTTCGGAGTCTTTTTCTTTGAAGTTGATGTGAATTTAGTTGCATTTCTTTGCTTTCCAGTAAATGACATTTAATAATTTCCAGTGGGATAGGCCCGTTAATCTGTTACAGCAAAACCGGTCAGGAATCTATGATACCTTAAAAAATTAAAACATTTTACAAGAGCATACAGTAATATATTTGTTGGGGGATAGTTTTTTTGGTAGTGTTATTAGGCTAGTCATTTCCCATTTGCTCCTGTTCTTACTGTAGCGCATTAAAAAAAAAACCCTACATTCAGAGAATTTCTTTTGGCCTATTCATAATATTAAAAAAAATAAAATAAAGCTTTTTCCATTGCAAAATGTGAGGAGGGATAATATAAATGCTATCAACTGTCACCTAAATGGCGGTTAGGTAATTCATTGTCAGCATTCCACTCCACTGAACAGAGAGGAGTTTAAAATGGCCATAGCATCTTTTTGCCAGCGAGGGTTGATTTCAAACCGTTTTGAAGAAACTCCGTGAATTTCTAGTGAAACAGCAGGCAAATTCGTTGTTGCCCACAGCACGGCCCAGAAGTCATGTGACCGATGTAAATATAAACTTGACAAGTTGGCTTTGAAATTGAGAATACGAGAAGCCATTTGAATGGTGACATGATCCCGTATAAATATTCTGT